ACGTAATATGCCATCATTATATTGCTGACGTCCTTCTCCATTCCTTGCCACTTTACTGACGATTTTATTTAGAATGGATTTATTGAATCTTGAACAGTTCACAGACAAGGTCAAATTTACACGTAACTGGACAAGCGTGTGCGTTAATAAAAGAGTGAATGGAATGAAAAATATTGTTATGCTCAATCATTACTGAAAACGTGACTCTCAGCATCCATTTACCTTTATGTATTTATTCCTAACCTTTTTCATCCACTCACCTTTTTACCACCGCGGGAAAGAAATATTTATTCATCAGGGATTTATCATTCCTTGGGATTCGAGACCAAAACATGGAAGGCAGCCAAAGTTATAACTTCATACATTTATCATGGTTAATCCTCTCTCTTAATCCTCTCTTAATCGCCGCCGGCTGGCACAGTGCCAGCCCAGAAATCATATTAATCACCAGCTATCGAAGATGAGTCCAGACACCCAAACATATGCAATAATGCGTTCGTGGGAAATGTTTAATCCCAGGAGACATTTAACAGAAGTCAGGCGAGGAAGCGATTATAACGGCGGGAATATGAGTCCGCGGTTAACTTAATGGATTTACTCACGCCCTTGCAGATTATTAATAAATGGAGTATTTTATCTGTGTTATTAAACGAGTAGCATCTATTTACCGGTTTATCAAGCTGTTGGTTTAACAATCATTAACTAACTGGGCAATTTACTCATTCATTCATTTGTTTTATTCATCAGAGCTTTTCCTAACAAACTCACGTCCGGGCATTTAGTGACGGTGACAAAATTAACCTGTGACATAATCTGCCCTACTATTGCCCCTTCACTAATTATCTACATCTAGATATACGAACCAACCGAATAAAAGAACAATGAAAAGAAATGAATAAATAAATGAACCAATGAATCATTCCACGACGTTTTTGTTTTTCCATGCATTTCTGTTTCGAACGACATTTGCGGTTTGTTTCAGTCGAGCGTCACCAATGACGGTCTCAAATAAATAGTACCTTCTATACAAACAAAAACTACGTCATTATCGTTTTTTCTCGCAGTTTGTTAAACTGCGTCGCTTCAATTTGCATTACGTTTATTTGCTAATAAATGATATACGGATCTATCAACTTGTTTTGTGTAATTTGTCACTAGAACTCAGGCAGAAGTAACTGTGTGCATTCGTTTGTTTACAAACAACTCACAAGACAAGTTATGGCATTTTATGGCCATTGGAAGCAATGCACTTGAGATATATGCATAATTCTTACATAACAGTCAAGAGTCAAGTGTTTATTATCCTTGGCATATTTACAAATGGCGGCATCTCTGAGGCCTACTGTGAAGCGTTACAAAATATTTGTTTACATCATAAGTTTCTAAATACATTGTGTTATCTCACTGGGACAGCGGTCATTGTGTTGGCATTTCGCCAACTGGATAATGGTGAGTAGTTTCCTTAGTTCTGTGTTTTTATTTTACAAAAATACTTCCATTTGTCAATAGCAATAGAAAATATCTTCCATTCCTTAGGGGGTGGGGGGTGGGGGGTGGGGGGGGGCACCTGACTGAACCGACACACCTGTGGTTCGATAGGTGGTAATACCTACATTTGTTCATCAGACCTCAATACCCTGATGAAGTCTGACTGGTCCTCATCTTTTTTGGTATATTTGTTTTTGTTTTCAGTCGTCTTCAATTTGTAAAAAAAATCGGTCAGTAGACGCACTCCTGGCTGGCAAGTTTCAGATAATTTATTTTCTATAAATATTGACAAATGTTCCACATATGTTTTAACCCCTGACATACTGTCTAAGTGTCGATGTCTTGCATAACTTCAAAACTGTGCTATGATTTGAAACTTATCCAAACCGATTTAGGCTTCAAAATGTCAAATCGATGTACAAACCGATTGAAGAGGTCAGTATCTAGAGTAATGATAGCAAAATAAAAAAGACATAGTCTGATTCTAACATACCTCACTCCATGTCTCAGTGCGATGTACAATAAATGCCAGTACTAGTTTTTCTGGCATGATTTTGGGCCCTGGTTTTATCTGGGTGTAGAT